CGACCCCGTCGACAACTCCGACTCCCGACCCCGTCGCCGACCCCGACACCTACTGCTACTGCTACTGCTACTGCTACTGCTACTGCTACTACTACTGCTACTGCTACTCCTACTCCTACTCCTACGCCTACTCTTACTACTACTACTACCACTACTACTACTACTACTACTACTACTACTACTACTACTACTACTAGTACCTCCACAGTGACGCCTACCACTGCTGGTGCTGTTGACGTTCTACCATTACTTGGTTGAGCTTATTTGCTACTGGGGCGACGGCCACGACGCCGACCACGAAGACATCCCCAACCTCATCCACGGCCACGACCATGACTACGAATGTGACCACGAGCCCTACCGCTAAACCGATACCACCACGACGACATTGACGACGACGACGACTACTGCTGCGGCCTGTGCGGGTTCATTTTTGACTGCGCAGGACTACGCTTGCACCACCGCTACATATTTGCAGTCCGTGCTCGGAACGAGTTTGGCTGGAGTGCCCGCAGTGGGTGGTCCCAGTGTTCGGAACATGCCAGTCCACCAGCCCGCCCTGATGCACCGAGTGGCTTGGATAGAAGAAGCATACAGGTGTGGAAGACGGAGCAATAACCGGAGCCAGCGAGCCTAGTATGCTGGCCGGGGAAGAGGGGATAGGTGCGGTCGAGTTTGGAGGTTCAGAGGCTGATGGCATTCGCCTTGACATGTTGGGGCAAATCCTGAGTTTGGCTCAATCCGAGACGCACTAGCGGACTAGCGAGGCACAATGGTTTCTTCAGGCAGTGCAGGAGCGAAGTCTCGAATACGAGATGAGGAACACTTGGTCTTGCTGTTTACGGGTCTGCACTCCGCGAAAACTATTCATCATAAAAGAGAATGCAGCGGGACGGTTCTGAATGGTCTTCATTAATTCAGGGTACGCCAAGAATCGTTTTTCCCAGCCAAAGGAGTGGTTCGAACAACTTCAATGGCCATCGAGCTGTCTTGGCACCCTCCCGAAAGCGCAGCTCAGTTAACACGAGCATGCGGCACGAAATTCCGAAGCATGGTAAGCTAGGTCAAGTTCGGAAACTTCATGGTGGACTAATATGTTGCAAAGACTTGCTGCCGGGTTTGGTGTAGTTCAACTCTGAGCTATCTGAGCCCATAGTTAGCATTTTCGTGCAGCTCTTGTCGTTTTCATATAGTCGGGCAGACGTTCATCTGTCTCAAAGTTCAAGACAAAGGCCGCGATGGTGCTGGATTATGAGGTTCGGTGCGAGGAGGAGGCGGCGACTTCACCAGAAGAGGGTACTGAAGAACAACGGGTTCGAACAACCCAGACCATGACAAGGATTGTGGGTTTGAGGCCATCTACACGATATGTCTGCCAAGTCCGAGCTCTCAATTCCTGCGGCTGGTCCCGTTGGTCGGCTCGTGTCGCATGCCGAACCGACATTTGCAGGGATGCGGCTTGGCAAGATACGAAAGATGAAGGTGCTGCAGAGGAACAGCAAAGGAAGGACACCCTCGATGTCTCCAGCGAGCCGCTTCAAATTCCCTCGGAAAATATTGCCAAAGCCTGGCAATTCAGCTCGGCGGCCGAGTGCATGCCATTGCCGAGTGCGCGCCGGCGCCCGTCTCCGAGACTGGAACATGACAACAGTTTTGGTGCGATGACCTCGTGGAGTGTTCGTCAACGCTTGCTGAAACATGTGCTTTCCCCCGTGCACTTATCCCATGAAAGCGAAGTGGCAGCAGAGAAGCGGGAGGACGAACTGCAACTTGCAGTTGCGTAGTTTGTACCTTCCTGATGTGGATGTGGGCGTCGATGTGGAATCGGCCGCTTGCCAGCAAAAGAAACCTTTCCTCACAGTGTTTCGACATTCCATACTTCACACTCTGCCTTTCTCTAAGAGTAAGAACCTGTCTTTCTCGCTGGGATCGCGGACTGCGCTGTCGGTTGCAGGCCCCGCTTTCCAGTCTCTGGTGCGGGTATCGCAGGACAGCAGCGAACATCCGCCGCCGATCAACTGCATGGTATAATTAATCCTTTTACTCCTAAGGGAGCGGCCTGTCAAGGATCGGATAGTTGTTGCCATTTGGGCACACAGCTGCTGCCCTCACAGCTCGGCAGGGAGTAGGACAGTCAATGCAGGAAGACGGCATGCAAGCCACAGCTATGTACGAGTCCTACTCTCCGCCACTGGGCCAGCCATTGCTTGGGCCGAGCCTTGTCGCCAATGGCAGTGCTCTCTCCCTTCAGTTTTGTCACATCGCCACCGAAGCCGTGGCGTTGGAATTTGTAGAATCGGCGGACCTGCCCTCTGCTCATCTCTGCTCCAAAAAATCAACATAACGAGACGGTGCAAGCTCCGTCTGCATTGGCCTTGCATGGGTTCTTCGAGCAGTAGGCCGACAGCCCGCGATCCAATTCGTTACGGAGTTGCCGTGGTTGTCGCGCGAAGTGCGTCGCCTCGGCACACCGTTTGCCTAGCTGGGCAACAGCCCAGGTTAGCTTGCAAACCGCGAGGCGCTGATGCCGCTTTTAGTCGGGAGGGCGTCATAAGCAACTTCCCCGAAATTGGCTCATAAGTCAGCCGTCAGCTTTGCTTAGAGTTGCAGTGCAGTGCAACTACAATTCCAGGCTTCCAGGCTTGTGCTGGTGCCTGTCCAGGAGCTGCATGCTCTAGAGAATTCGTTTCAGTTTTCTAGACCTTCATCTTGACAGTGTTTGCGACTCGTCCGAGCGCGTTGCCCTGCCTCTCGCATCGGTGCACCGATTGGGGTGTGTTTCTCAGACCCAAGTTGTGGCGATATGTTCTTCTCAATATGGCTCAGCTTCCAATCACATCGCATGATTCGTATGTGATTTGACAGACTGACTCAAACAAGAGATGCCAGGCTCTGCATCTAGAAACTCAAGCATTCAGAGGTCACGTCTAGTGCCGCGATGGCGCACGAGTCTGCCAGGGACCCCCCCGGCCCGCCAGCTGGCCAGCGAGGCCAGGGCCAAGGCGACAGCGAAGCGACCGGGAAAGACAGACAGAGCAAGCCCAAGCCAGCGAATGGCAAAGGCAAAAGCTCCGAGGGCAGCAAGGGCGGCAAAAAGGGCGGGGGGAATTCCAGCAAGGGCAGGAACAAGGGCTACGGCGACAAGGGCTCCGAATGGGATGCTGCCCAGCGTGACCCTGGGAGACTGCAGCTGACGTTGGAGGATCTGCAAAGAGTAAGACCACAACGATGCGTGGAGGCATTCCCGCATTTGACTGTATGCTCAGATTGGCCAGAAGCTGGCAGACCAGTACCCAGGTCCGGCTCTGTGGCTTGGCTTGCAAATCTGCCACGTCTTTTCTTGCGGTGTTACATCTCCAGAGTGAAACAGAGCCGGAACGTCAGATTCAATCCCTCGGCACGCAAGGCCTTCTATTTGCCACTAATCTGGACAGCGCTGCTCCCGCCACCTGGAGCATCCACGGCAGAAATCGAGGCCTCGCCGGCCGTGGCACAGCTGCAAAGCCTGGGCGATGAGCGGCACTTCAAGGGAGTGCGAAGGGCCTCCTTGGCCGATGTGCATAAAGGCCAGGTGTTCTGGAGGCAAGCCAGAAGCTCAGTTGTTCCCAAAGCGACAGCTTCACGGTCTTTTCTGAGCTGAGCCGTGCTCAGATGTTTTCTGGCTGGGATGACTGGGTGCAGAGACTCCGCATAGCCATGGCCAGCTTCAGAGCTCCGGATGGCCAGTCAGGTCAATGGCCAAGTCACCGGCATGTGGATGTGTTCTTTGCCTTTCGTGCAAAGATTTGCACCGGAGAAAGCTGAGGCTTGGATGCTTTAGTGCAACAACATGTGAAGACTGTCTCCGTGACCGCCGGAGCCGTCGTGTATGGTGACTTGAATGTCCTGGGTGCTCTTCCCCACATAAGCAATGCACGGAAATCGCCTGACCAAGATGCAATCCTGGATCCTTGGCGGCACTGACCTCCCCAGCTAGTGGGCACAGATATAAATTATAGACTTTGGGCATGGGGCCGAGGAACTTGACCTGATGCTGCGGATGGAGGTGGAGCTCAGGCTGCACATGTGGCTGTCACTCCACTTTGGTTTAGTTGGTGATGGTGAAACTGTATCAGCCAGGTGTAAGTGTGTGTGTGTGTGTGCACGCGCGAAACTTTGTGTGGACCCGCGTTTACAATCCTTTTACAACGTGTGCAGAGTTTTCATTGGCCGGCAATCCACAGATGACCCTGTGCTGAACGTGGCCCTAAAGTGCGGGTGGGGGTTCTTTTTGTTTTTTTTGGTTTTCGGTTCAGTAGGTATGTGAGTCCATAAGTCGGTCAGTCAGTCAGTCCGTCTATGAACGGGGCGGTCAGTTAGTGAGTCAGTCATTTGGTTGTCCAAGAAGAGCGGTGAGTCAGTCAGTCGGGCAGCCAACCGACCCGTCAGTCAGTCAGTCAGCCAGTCAGTCAGTCGGTCGGTGAGACAGAACGGTCAGTCAGTCAGTCAGTCAGTCAGTCACATTCGGTCGTCCAAGGAAGAGCGGTCAGTCAGTCGGTTAGCCAACCGAGCGGTCAGTCAGTCACGAAAGCTAGCCCTGTGGAACTTGCGGGACGACAACTTACCATCCACTTAGGTAATAGAGATCCAGGTCAAAAAGCACGCAGGACCTTATCTGGTCCGTTTTCAATAGTTAAAGGGGGGGGAGGGAGGGAGGGGGGCCCGTGCCTTGGACGCTTAGCGTCCATTTGACGCAATAGTGGTTTTTACAAGGAAAATCATACATTTCTGAGCGTTTTCCGCGCTGCGCGCTCCTCAACGCCTTCCTCACCCTTCGAGTCATATACTTTAGTGCAGGGAGGATGTTGACTGGAGCCAAATAGTTGCCAACAGCACATACTGTTGGGTTTCAGTCTCTAAAGAAAAGAAGCCTGGAACAATTCAGGGCTGGCCGGCCAAAACGGGAGGACGACGGAATCATCCGGGAATGATGAAATATGAATGACGGAAATTTCGGAAACGATGGACTGTGAAGCGAGATGGAAGCAAGACGGAATTATTCGGAAATACACGAATAT